ATATGTATGTAGTAGGTAACTGTTTCACTTTCAGTAAATCACATTTAATAAACACAAATACACTCAAAACAACGGAATTTCGCGTCATAAAAAACACTAACCTACACCAAAGCTAGTGAATCCAAATATCAAAAATGTCTCTTCGCGCCTAACATATGTTTGATGTTTGAGAACGATAAGCTGCTTCTAATCTCTATTGCAGTGGTGTCGTTTGTTCAGAGAGAATTCTTTCAATAAGAGAAATCAAATTAATAAAATAATACAGCGAACTTATATTTTGTAAAGATCAATTTATTGCAGTTCATATCTAAAACACAAATTGAACTAAATGGGAAATTTTGGAACATAGTACTGCCTATTATTTGGTCTTATCTGGGTCATTCAACACTCAAGAATTTTTAGATGCACTTCAAGTAAAATGTTACTTTATTCAACAAATAAAACTTGGCTTATGCAGTTCGAGATAATCTATAAAATAAAAATTCATAAGACAAAAAATTTTCAAAGAAAGGACATTACATACTCCTGTCACTGGTACAAGGCAATTACAACTACATGAATGTTCTATTGTATTGTATTGTATTGTTATAGTGCATATGTAGTTTAAATTTAATGATTATTTGCCGTTTGAGATATTATCTACAATCTATTTTAAAATGTTAATTTGACTGCCCTGTATCTTTGTTTTAAGGAGGTTCGATACATTTCTTGTGAGGCAGGCGGTGCGGGAGGGAAGCCTATGCTTATACGCGGTAGTTTCGTTGTAGTACCAACCTTACATAAACTAATTTGAGCGAACTAAATATAATATATACGAATGAAATTTATACAACACATATTAGCTTGCATATATTTTTCATGTTTAATGCACGGCAATTAACTTTTTATTTGAATAAAAGTGTCTGTTTATTAATTAAGAGCTTGTAAAATTATGGATTAAATCTGGCAACATTGCCATAGCGTGGTAGTAAAAGTTGGGTCAACTGTCATTACTCTCAACTGTGCTTTGCGCGTATTCCGTAAACATGAATGAACATCCAATATACAAAGGAAAAGTAATGACTGAAAAGCAATATAAAATGCGTATGAAACAGAATGTGATAATAACTATCAAGAAGCTCAGTGTATGACAGTGAGACGTCGCCTTGTCAATTTTAAGATTATGACAGAACATCTATACTGTTCGTTTTGCAAAGAAATTATTCAATTTTTGTTTCAAATTGCTATTATATTGCATTAGATCACGAAAAATTTATTTACTATTAATTATTACTAAGTACATATGTTTTCGCTGGAATAATTTTATAGTCTATAATCGAGCTATTCAAATATAGCGCGTCAGTCAACGCATTAAATACAGCGTACAGTGTTGCCATATTGCCTTTCATTGGATCAGATGTTTGTTCAAATTTGTCAAAACGTTATATATTCATTCCAATATCTCAATAATTACATTGTAAGTGCATATTTTTATTGTTTTAAAATGTTTAGTAATATTTAATTCTTTAATTATAATTATATTTTCCTGATCCTAACCATTTTTAAGAGCAGTATTCACGTTTGATTAAAGTTTTTTCCCAACTGGCATAAGAGCCTGTGTAAAAGAGCATAATTTTTAATATCATTTTTCAAAAAAACTATATTGGCAATCGATCCGATATTTTTACAAGAGGCAGTTGGCATATTTATTAACAGATTTCAATGATTTTGAAAACTTTCTTACCATTTCTTTTTCGGTATCGAACCTCCTTAAAGTCTTCTAGACCCATATTTGTAGAAAGATTTTTTAAAGCAAATGTTCTTAAATCTATTTATATTTGCAATTCATTGTTGTTTCATTGTTGTTGTTCATTATTGTTGTGCATTATTGTTGTTTCATTGTTGTTCCATTCATTGTTTCACTTGATTGTCTATGTTTTTTTCCACAGGAACAGTTAACTATAAAGGAAAAACAACTTGCTAAAATAGAGGCTGAATTACGGCAATTAAGTAACGTTCAGGAACAATATAACTCAATGAAACAAAGACTTGATTTATCCCGTCATGAACTAAATTTAGTCAAACAAAAGTTACAGCAAACAACTCACCGCGGACAACAAGAAGAAATTAATAATTTGAAATCTCAAATAGGTAAGAAAAGTATCATATACTTGAAATGGTACCAGCTCGCCTTCCATTGTTAAATATCTTACTCCCAGTCCTAGTACTTCATATTATGGTGTATATTTTTTCAATTAATTATTGTTTGAATTTTTTAGTGGAATTAAAGGAAAAAGTTAAATGTAGCAAAGAGATAGAAATTAAGTGCAAGCAAAAAACTAAGGAATTAGAAACTAAACTAAAAGATGCCAGTGGATGTAGAGAAAAGCAATTAAAAGAAGCTGAGTCAGCAATGAGACAATTAAAGCAGAAAGCAGAGAAAAGCAGGGAAGGCTGGAAACAAAGAGAGCAAGATTACGAAACCTTGAATTTAGAAATTTCAGAATTAAAAAAGGGTGTAGAAAACACTCAACAACAAATTCAAAACACAGAAGATGTTCTTATTAAATTAAAGGAGCAATTGGAGAATATGTCTGTTGATGTTAATATTTTAAAGGTACCTTAGAAAATTCAGGAAAATTAAAATTACATTTGTTAAAGTTAAAACATTATAATAAGAACACTAGCAGTAACATAATTGTAATTTTGCTTCTGTAGGTAAATTACCATATCTTTCTCCTTACCTTTCTTATTTTCAAATTTTTATTGCTGACAAATTTCTGTAAATTGAGATGTGCGATGAAATATAAAAATGAAAAATATAAAAGTAGGGTATTGTTATAACGAGCGTTCAAATAAAAACGTGGTCAAGTTGGTTCTGAAAATTTGGACGTAGGGCGTAGCGTATAGCAAATGAACTTAAACGTCATCTGTCAAAGCGCTATATCGCCGCTATCAATTTGAATATTTTCATTTTAAACGCTTTTTAAAACGAAAATATTCAAATTGGTAGCGGCGATATAGCGCTTTGACAGATGACGTTTAAGTTCATTTGCTATACGCTACGCCCTACGTCCAAATTTTCAGAACCAACTTGACCACGTTTTTATTTGAACGCTCGTTATA